CTTCATCGTATGCTATAGCAAAAGACACTCGACATGAGCATCTGTTTCATTATCTGCTACACAAACCACTGAAGCAGTCAATGGAGCAGACGATGTTGCAGACGATGTAGCAGACGATGTTGCTCATCCGGGCTAGCTAGGGGGCGCTGAGGGGATCTACTAGTGATGACGTTTAGAGGAGGAAACGCGCAGGCCTTGTGTTCTAGGTGGTATTGCTATGGCAGTGTCCGCTCTTTACCTTTGGCGGACTAAAATACACTCCGACGCTGTGCGTAGCAAACGCGGCTTAGCGCAGCGCATACATATGCTGATTGGTCGCAGATATCGAATTCCTGGTCGCCGCCGGCCAATGAAAGGCGCACGTTCTGCGCTACACTGCGTTCGCTGCGCTCAACGTCGGAGTGTGCGCCTAGAAGGTCTGAGAGAGGAGGAGAGGACAGCGCGCAAGGACGTCAGAACGCCGAGCTCCGGTTGGAATAATTAGTGGGTTGACCTAAAGCTAGCCGTTTTTGTCTCCTGTGCACTCGTCGAACGCGTAAGAACGCGGAATGCCGGCGTCCGGCGTTTGGCTTTCGTATTCGAAGGCGTTCGACGAGTGCAGTGGAAGCAAATGCAGCTAGCTTTAGCTCTACCCACTAATCATTCGAATCAGAGCTCTGCGTTCTGACGTCCTCGCGCTCTCTCGTCTCCTCCTCTCCCCCACCTTCTCGGTTAAAGGGACACTGACACCCCCCCCCCCCCCTTACCCTTTTGCCCCCTAATTTTTTAAAATATTTTGCCAGGCGATTAATTATGTTATGGTGTTAGAAGACTACCCAATAAATATTTGGCTACAGTCTCACATATATTTTTTATAAAGTAAGAAAAAAAAAATACTGCTCGAAACCGAGACCGGTACTGGACTTGGATGAAAGAAAAAATATAGAGGAGGAGAGAGTTGGCGTAAGTCACGTGGCTGTGCAACTATTTTTTTTTATCAACGTATTTTCAAATTATTAGAAGTCGCAAAAAAAAAAAAAAAAAGAAAATGGGTATCCTTTTTTTTATCTATCTTTAATTTTGTGTGTGCGCCTTTGATGACCCACGACTTTTATTATTTTTGGTGGTTGTGTCTAAAACATAGAAAACGTCACGCGACCACGGAGAAGAGAGTGAGCGCAACTCAAACTGGTCGGTACTCGATCGGCGGTTCTCGGGTTGAAAGAAAACGAATTTCGATCCGCGAATTGTTTTCTGGGTAATCGGACTCTTATATGTCAGGTACAAATAAAAAACTTGGCGAGCATAAATACCTTGTCAGTGCCCCTTTAAAGGGACACTGACAGGGTATTTAAGCTAGCTAACATTTTTATTTGTACATGGAATATGAGACCCCAACTTACCAGAACACAATTAGCGACTCGCATTTCGTTTTCTTTCCGCCCGAAATCCGCCGATCGAGTACCGGCCAGTTTGAGTTGCGCTCACTCTTTTCTCCGTGGTCACGTGACGTTTTCTATGTTTTAGACACAACCACCAAAGATAATCAAAGTCGTGGGTCATCGAAGGCACACATTCAATACTAAAAGGAGACAGAGAGTATGATATTTTGTGGCTTCTAAAATGCTGAAAATATATTTATTATGTATATATAAAAAAAAAAAAAAAAATTGTACAGTTACGTGATTTTCGGTAACATTTCTTTTTCCTCCCCAGCCCAGTTTCGGTTTCGGTTTCGAGCAGTTGAGTTTTTTTACTTTATTATAAAATATACCTGACGCCAGGGCCGTAACCAGGGGGGGGGGGGGGGGGGGGGTTAGGGGGTTCTGACCCCCCCCGAATTTTTTTTCTGAGTACGGCCCTGGTCGGTGCACTTGCAGCCAGCCGATTTTGATTTCCACCTCTGCGCACGCGCAGTGGCGCCGGTCGGCTACCGGATACCAAACCGGGACCGGTTCTCCGGTTTGCTGCAACTCTCCATTATATGCCACCGATGCACATGATTCGTAGGCGAAAATAAGACAATAGACACTTTCAAAATGGCCGCCGTTGTCCACGAAAACCCCCCCCGAAATTTTTTTCTGGGTACGGCCCTGCCTGACGCTGTAGTATGGTGGCTAGAGAGTTGGGTGTGTCGAGCGGCGGCCGGCGCGCGGCACCGAAACGGAAATCTGTCGCCAGGAGGCGCCTCGGAAGCCCTGTATGCTATCCGACCGCGGCGTTTTGGCTTTTTTGGGGCCGAAATGCGGCGCGTGCAGACCTTTACGCGGCCACTTGTCGGCTGTGTTTTTTTACAGAATTAATTGGCGTGGCATAATGAAAGTGTGATAAACCTGGATTCGATAGTCGACCCGATTTTAGAGCGTCGACGAAGGTAAATGCACACTTGAAGTCGTTCTATTCTCACCGCAACGTTCTCGTTCGCGTAACGGAGGCGTTGATTCCAAAGTAATATAAAAAAATGGGAAATTTTTTTTTTTTTTTAAATTTTCTTTTGTGCACTACGTTTTCGAAATACGTGAAACGTCCACCGAGGTATCAGCAGCCGTGACGAAATTTCGCGTTTCAAGCCGCTGTGCCACGTCTGTCAAATGAATCGACGCTGAACCGCGCAGGCACTTTAACATTAAAATATGCCTGAGGACACTGGACACTTCTGGTGAAATTCCCCTGCGATTCAAGAGCAGACATGGCTGGCGAGAAACAATGCGAAAAGTTGTCATGACACAAAGCAAACAATGCAGTTTTGGCACTTTACCTTTGTATTCAACATGGAAAACTAGCAATGAAATACAAAATTGATTTTAAAAGAAAGTGAGCGAAGTAACATATCATACATGTTACATGAACCACTCCTGAACGAAATATTCAGGAATATGCAATGTAATTGTCGTAACTTTGGCAATTAAAAGTTAAGCAATTAAACAATACTTTTGTGCTAACCCCCATACGAAATGGCTTATGGCATATGATCTTCCATATGGTAACAAATATATCTTTCTCGTGTGTACCTTCTTTTCCACACTATAACCGCAACTCTACTGAACATCGTAAGGCTGTCCTGAGTATTCTCGGCTGCATGCGTGAACAGGTTTTCAAGGCTGCGTCTAGAGCAGACCTAAGGGCACCCAGAAACCAGTAGTGATCGTAATTGTCTTCAATGAGTAAAGACATATTTTCGATTCATCAAAAATATTGCGCCTCCTCACCAGATGACTGCAGTTTGATTGTCGGGATCACGCTGTTTTAGGCAGGACATATAGGTATAGGAACACAGGATCGAAGTACAGCGAGGATCTTTACAGGAGACCCACAAGCACTCTGAAAATGAACATACTCTCTCATGGTACCATGAAAAGGCATATCTTGCAGTCAGCGTTCTGCTTTGAAGTCTATCAGGACAAGAATGACAGTACCGCAAACAGTTATTATAGGTACCGTCGCATTTTGGTCACTTAACTTCAAACGGGTTATAACAGCTGGAACACAAAGGACAGAAACAGCCTGAGTCTGGGGAAGCATATTTTAGCCTAGCCTAATATAACCTCTTGAATACCGAGGCACACCGAACAGTCCAATGATGACACCTCCGCTAGATTTTTATGTCGTTGCATAGAAATTGCCATCAACAAAAGTGGACACCATTGTGACATTGCGTTGAGTGAAGTACATCTAAAATGTACTTTTAGTAAAGTACAAAGTAAATGAGACGTTATAACGTCTCCTTTACGTACTAGTGTACTTAATAATTTACTTACAAGTAAATTATTAAGTACGCTGGGAGAAACGTACTTATAGTAAAGTACTATAAATACAATGTTCTTTCAATGTAAAGTACAAGCTTTCTAACACAGTCTTTCATGATGCCCTTTCATTCCCCTATACAGTGATTTGTTTTTTTAATTGGTATGCATTACCCAGGGGTAATCAAAGGAGCATGACCTCAAAAACAGCGGCGAATATTTGATAAAGTCAAGCGGCCACAGAGTAATTTTTGTTTTCAGGAATGGAGCCAAATTCAGAAGACCCTCTTCTGAATTTGGCGCCCCTTGCATTGGGTTGTTGCAACCAAGGGGGTTAAATGTACTAGGAGAGAGCATGACGTCAGCACCGTAGCTTCCGCAAGCAATCCTCTCATAGAAAAATGCCCTCTCCGCAATAAAAAAAAAAAAAAATAAAAAAAAAATAAGTGTGCAAGCGTGCTGGTGATAATTGATCATGATGTGACACTTGCGATTGGGGTGCGAAAAAAATTAAGGAACTTTCAAATAGAAGGAAAAGACAAAAGAGAATGTCTCAAACCAACGTTCTCCTCTAGCTGTTGTCTCTTATATTTCGACTTGAAAATTTAATTTTTTTGCACCACAGACTTAGGTGCTACATTATGATTAATTTTTCTCTCCTAATATTTTGAACCTCCTCGCTTGCGCTGACCAATCGAGAAGTAGCAAGAGATCAAAAACCTACGGGAAAGCCGCTCCCAGTACAAACGGGGCGATGTGTCGTCTGCTCACGTTTCTGGTGAGAGTAGAATATCTCTCCCAGTTTTTTTTGGAGTTGACAAGGCAATCACTTCGTGATACAAATTTAACAAAACCAAATTTGGGGAATGTACTTTGGAGTCGGGAATAGTACTTTCCTCGGAAAGTAGCAGAAGAGGATACTTTAAGTACAAGTACGTACTCAGAGAATGTACCTCAAGTAAAGTACAAGTTTCCTAAACCTAATTTAAGTAGTACTTTAAGTACAATGCACTTAAATTACTTCCCAACACTGACCGCAGACGTGTTCAGCAGGACGCTACGAGCTTGTGTGTGTGTACGTACTCACGCACAAGCACGCAAGTGCTTTTTTGAGACTGAATAAATTGTATGTTTGCTTTCTTTGTGAATAAACTTATTATTATTATTTTTATTAACACCAAAACACCACTCATACAGCGATATCTCGAACGGATCGAGCGATATTTTAGAGAAGTATCGCTCGATATGTGCCGCTCGTCGAAGTGAAGTGCGTGTAGTGTCCTTGATTTAGCGAAATCGACTATATGGGTTGGCAACATTGGTGTATCAGAAATGGCGGATTAAACGAACGTAAATTACCACGCTGCAGTCCTCAATCCAAGCAATCCCTACATACTCCAACACCACAATGGTGTCAGAAGTGCCGTCCGTGGTAGCGGAAGACTCCTAGAACCCGTACACCACGAAATCATCGGCGAGCACCGTCACAGCAATCAACGGAACGGGTCAACATGGCACACACGCTGCCCCCGTTTCCAAGCTTCAACGTCCAAGCGACGGATGCCAACAACATCGGCCTCGAGTGGGCCAAGTGGGTGGACAGGTTCGAGAACTTTCTCGTTGCGTATAACATTACGTCGGACGTACGCAAGAAAGCGCTCCTCCTTCATTACGCCGGTGAGGAAGTGCATGATCTCTACCGGTCTCTCCCGGACGACTCGTTATCGGCAACTGTCAGCAGCACCGCGCAAGGCGCAGCGAGAACGTCAACATCTGAGTACGACGCCGCAAGAGCAAAGCTCGACGCTCACTTTGCACCAAGAATCAACCCAACATTCGCCATTTATCGTTTCCGACAAGCACAACAGAACGTCGGTGAGTCACTCGATGCTTTCTATGCGCGGCTCCGGCAGCTGTCTCGTCATTGCAACTTCCCAGACGTTGATCTCGAGATAAAGAATCAGATCATCATCGCGACCACATCCACGCGTCTGCGGAAGTATGCCATACTGCATTCGCTGGACTTGCCAGATATCCTCAAGCAAGGACGCATGTTCGAGGACGTGGAGCACGATGTGTCTGAAATCGAGCGGAGCGCCGACAAGCCAGTCCTCGCAGTACGAAAGGATGAGCAGCATCGCGGCAGCAAGCCAAAAAGAAGTTTGAAACCGCCTCAGCGACCAAACTACCAGACACAACGACATCATAGCCTGTCGACAGATTGTCACAACTGCGGTGGCAAATGGCCACATGACGGCGGACGATCAAACTGTCCTGCATGGGGAAAAACATGCAAAGCCTGTAACAAGATCGGACACTTTGCCAAGGTGTGCCGTTCATCAAACAAGACAGTACAAACTATCAGCCAAACCCGCCAAGACAGCAGTTCAAGCGGTGAAGAACACGTTTTTGTAGCAAAAACATTGCCTCCAGCAAGCACGTCTCCCAAAGCTGTCATCAGAGTCGACAATGTTCCAATCACCTTCGTGATTGACACGGGTGCAACCGTGTCGGTTGTTGGTGAGGATGAGCTCCGGAACTGTCACCTAGATGAGAAACTGGAGAAAACATCCGTAAAGGTTTTTCCATACAAAGCAACGTCTCCTCTGCAACTTCTGGGAAAAGTCTCAGTCAGCATGATGTACAAGGAAAGGTGCAGTCAAGAGGACATCTTCGTCACCCCAGGAAGCTGCGCACCACTCCTAAGCTTTGCAGCAGCATCAAATCTTGGTCTTATTCGAATCACATATCAAGTCGAAGACTCCCCAACAGGAAAGTCGATCGTGGAATCATTCCCTAACTTGTTCAAAGGAGTTGGCAAACTCAGAAAGCAGCAAATCCACCTCTTCGCGGATGAAACTGTTCCTCCCATCGCTCAACCGCACCGACGCATCCCATTTGCAGTGCGAGCACTTGTGGAGACAGAACTCGACCGCCTCCTTTCAGAGGACATAATCGAGCCAGCAGTTGGACCCACACCATGGGTGTCTCCAGTGGTTATTGTACCGAAACCACACCACCCTGATGAGATCCGTATGTGCATCGACATGCGCCTTGTGAACACTGCCATTCAACGAGAGCGACATCTGTGTCCAACAGTTGATGACATCATCGTAGCTCTCAACGGAGCAACCATTTTCTCAAACCTTGACCTGAAAAACGGCTATCATCAGCTGGAACTGGACGTGTCTTCGAGACGACTAACAACATTTTCAACGCACACTGGTTTGTTCCGCTACAAACGTCTCAACTTCGGCATCAGCAGTGCAGCAGAAATCTTCCAGAACACAATTCGCCAAGTGCTAAACGGCATCCCAAACGTCCTAAATGTCAGTGATGATATTCTGGTCTTTGGAAAGACGAAAGAAGAGCATGACGCCGCTCTAGATGCAGTCCTACATTGACTTCAGGAATCAGGACTAACGCTCAATGAAAAGAAGTGTCACTTCCACCAGCGAGAGCTGACCTTCTTCGGGCTCATTTTTTCATCAAAGGGTGTTAGCCCAGACCCTAAGAAAATCGAGGCTTTCCTACAAGTAAGAGTACCAGAGTCTCCTCAAGAGGTGAAGAGTCTTTTGGGAATGGTCAACTACTCGGGTCGGTTTCTACGAAACCTTACTCAGCCACTGCGTGAACTGACGCTAAAGAATGCAACCTGGGAGTGGACTGAACGACACCAGAAAGCCTTCGACGAACTGCGGCGCGTCATGTCAGACGCATCTACCCTGTCCTACTTCGATCAAGCCAAGCCGACAGAGCTGGTTGTAGATGCAAGCCCGCACGGACTTGGTGCCATTTTAACACAACGAGATGGTGCACAGGTCGCAGTGATAGCTTATGCAAGCAGAGCATTAACACCAGTCGAAAGCCGCTACTCCCAAATCGAGCGAGAAATGTTGGCAGCAGTATGGGGCATGGAACACTTTCGGCTCTACTTGTGTGGTGCAAACTTTCTTTTATTGACAGACCACAAGCCCCTGGTGAGCATCCTGGGAAACCCAAGGTCGTCACCATCTGCCCGCATAGAGCGCCTTGCTCTCCGCATCCAACAGTATGCATTTGACGTACAACACACTGCTGGAAGCAGCAACCCCTTGGACTACCTTTCAAGACACCCAGTGCCACAACAGGAGACAGGCACTCGCATCGCCAAAGTTCCTGATGAGTATGTCAACTTCATCCAACGCCAGTGCATCCCAAAAGCCTTCTCGGTCGAGGAAGTTGTGGAACAGACTAAGGCAGACCAACAGCTGCAGCTACTGGTGAGAGCCATCCAGCATCCTCTACGTAACGACTGGCTGCTACCAGAACTAAAGCCATTTGCAGCTATGAAGGCAGAACTCACTTTAACACCAGAAGGTCTCATCCTTAGAGGGACACGCCTTGTCCTTCCAACTGGTCTCCAGAAACGTGCAGTGCAACTCGCACACCGAGGTCACCAGGGAATCGTAAAGACGAAACAATTACTACGAGAGAAGGTATGGTTTCCAGGCATGGACAACCTTGTGCACATGCTGGTGAAGAGTTGCCTTCCATGCCAAGCTGCAGTACCCCAAACAACTCAAGAGCCACTTGCGATCACCGAACCTCCCAGCAGTCCCTGGGAAAAAGTATCCCTTGACTTTTGCGGTCCATTTCCCGATGGGAAATATGCAATGGTGGTGATAGATGACTTTTCGCGATACCCTGTGGTACAGGTCCTCAATTCGACAAGCGCACGCAATGTACTGAGCAACCTCCGAGCAGTGTTTGGCCAGTTTGGCATCCCAGAACAAGTGAAAACGGACAACGGGCCACCGTTCCATGGCACAGAGTTTGCTGAGTTTGCCCAAGAGCTGGGATTTCGACACCACAGAGTCACACCGCTATGGCCTCAGGCCAACGGTGAAGTGGAACGATTCATGAGGACATTAAAGAAACAAGTGCACACCAGTGAACTCGAAAACAAGGACTGGAAGGCTGAGCTAGATACCTTCTTGATGTCTTACAGATCTACGAAACAAGGCACAACAACAAAAACGCCTTACGAATTGCTGTTTGGAAGACCAATGAGGAATCTCCTTCCCCTTTATGCAGCCCCAACCCCAAGAACAGTGGACTCAGAAGGACTGAGGTCAAGAGAGCTTGCAAGAAAGGCTTACAACAAGCATCGAGCTGACACACGGAGAGGCGCTCGTCGACATCGCTTCTGGGTGGGTCAGCGAGTCCTGTGTAAAAAAGCCCAACACAACAAATTTACGTCGTATTACGATCCGACCCCTTATACCATTACCAGCATTCATGGATCTCAGATCAAAGCATCCCAAGGCAACCGAATGATCACACGGAATGCTAGTTTTTTCAAGGATGCCTCCAGGATCAACCGAGTGCCACGCAGAGCAGAGACCGACCTAGATGACACTATGCCACCGTCCAGCACGGACAGTTGCATTTCAGCACCAGGGCCATCAGTGCCTGCAAGACGACAGAGCCCCCTTCATCGACGTTACCCCGTCAGAAACCGCAAGCCACCACGGCATCTTGCTGACTTTGCAACATAATCCCTTTTAAATTCTTTGTGAAGAAGAGTGAACTATTACAAAATGAAAGAACTCATCTCAGCAAGTGTTCAGCTGAACATCGACAGCACGTTATTTAGTTAATTTTGTTTTGTTACTTTGCAACATTTTATTTGATGTATTAGATTCTCAATTTCATCTTCTCACAAGGAGGGTAACTGTAGTGTCCTTGATTTAGCGAAATCGACTATATGGGTTGGCAACATTGGTGTATCAGAAATGGCGGATTAAACGAACGTAAATTACCACGCTGCAGTCCTCAATCCAAGCAATCCCTACATACTCCAACACCACAGTGCGCACACCCCGGAGTTTTCCTGAAGATGCCTGTCTCCCCTCGGAAGGTTCCTGTCCCAGTGAGAGAAGAGAACTGGGTCCTGTGGGTCGGCGAACAACGTGTGTTTTTCTTTTTCAGACCTGTAGCCTGTCGTGCATCCTGGAATGAAGCAGTGCTTCGCTCGCTGCTTTTTCTTTACGCTGGAGGTTGACGGGGCAATGTCCATAGTCTCCACGTGTCACCTGACGGACGGGCATGCAGGAACGGTTGAAATAAATTCACACGAGCGCTGAAGAACAGATAAGAGCGGGCGTGAACTCGCCGCTACGCGCCTTGCCGCACGCAAATCCCTGCGCCAGCTGCGCGCGCCTAGCATACACGCAGAGCCGTATATTGGGAGAGTTGGGCCATTGGGAGGCGCAAGGGCCGCCGCCAGTGCCAATTTTTCCCCAAGCGGTTATAGCTTGAACTTTTTGTAAGCCATTTGCACCAATCAGCAAACCGTTACGTCACAACATTGAAAACGACATTGAAGGCGTGTAAGTGAAGCGTTCAGTCTGGGTTCAGTCGGTTTAGCCGGTAGCGGTCGGTGACACAACCGGCGACAGAGCAACGGTGATCGCCGATTGAGTGCGGCGTGACTGAGGCTACGAAGAAACTGATAAAAACGTTCCCATAATCGAGACGGTAGTCTCTCTTCCGTGGAAATTAGACTTCCTTTTTTGTCAATAACAGGTGAGTGAGCGCCAACCTAATCGAAGAGAGAAGGCATCGGGATTTCCGCTGACACCTAACGGCTCTGTGCAGCGCCTTGCTTACAAGCTGCATGTACCAGAACTTATATTCTGCACCAGAGTGGACTGTAGTACATCTCGCCCGGTGTCGGAGTGCGTAGTGAAAAGCAACTCGCAACCGGCGGAAGCTAGCGGTATCATGCTATCCTGCGAGGGCGAGCACCTCGCTTTTGTGCCCACCTGCGCTGCTCGAGTGTTCGTCGTGGACCGAAGTGGTTGATGCATCGATCAGAGCCCCGATGAGCGGCGCCGGAAAAGAAGCTACACCTCTGAGCCACACAAGCGGCTTGTTTGATTGAAATTTCTCTACCACTTTAATAATTTCTGCCCCGGAAGTATGCTTAGCAGACTCCGCTACCACACCGGCAGTAAAGAAGCTAGATCGAGATGAAGCTCCCCGGGTGTTGCGGTTTTGTCCAGTGGAGGTTGCCTTTTACACCAAATTCGCGTCATATAAAGTCACTCGATCGTTTAGGACAAAGACAACTCTCATTTGGACCAGTGCATAGAGGAAGCTGAGTGTCAGTAAATATTTTCGAACCACTACTTCATCTGGGCGACATCAGTTAATTTGAAATGTCATTTCTTCTGCTCACGAGAGACGGGGGTAGAGCATGTAGGCCGAAGGCCCGGACCAGGTGGCTGTCATAGTGTGTTTGCACTGGATTGGTTACAAGTTTAATTACAGCAAGAGATACTTATAGGTGAAGCGAGCACTGGAAAATGTATTTCATTTTGTTGCTGTAATAAAAACAGTCCCATCACATTTAGTTGGGTGTATTTCTTGTCTGCAGTTGCCTATGCGGTCAAATGAGTACCATCCCAGGCTCTACGAGCTACAGCACTCAATCTGGCTTTTTGGTACTGTTGCAATTTTCACAAGCGATCTCCAAATTTCTCAGAGTAGAGAGTTTGGGACTGAAACTTCGTATTCCAGTCCTACTCTTAACCATAACTTCAAAAACAGGAAGATATGTGGCAAAGAAGCAAAAAAAGGCTATGTTTAATTAACCTGAGACGGGTAGAGAAGAAACATCAAAACGTAGAAGGGACAGCAAATAGACAGGACGACGTCTCAAACTCGCGTAACTTATTTATTTAGTCCACCTCCTTATATAGTCTCAATCTCAAAATCATCTCCACCAACACAAAAGGATGAAATCTATACAGATCAAGCGCCACAGCCTTCATCGCACAATGCAAGAACGTTGACAACGTTTACAGGTCAACGCGATAAGGCAACATCCATCCACCCTCAAACTTGAACAAAAGGATCTCTTCCACTACTACTATTCTATACACAGTTCATACTTCTCTTCAAGTTTGAGGGTGGATGGATGTTGCCTTATCGCGTCGACCTGTAAACGTTGTCAACATTCTTGCATTGTGTGATGAAGGCTGTGGCGCTTGATCTGTATAGACTTCGTCCTTTCGTGTTGGTGGAGATGACCTAGAGATTGAGACTATATAAGGAGGTGGATTAAATAAACGAGTTAGCTGAGTTTGAGACGTCGTCCTGTCTATTTTCTGTCCCTTCTAAGTTTTGATGTTTCTTCTCTACCCCAGTCTCGGGTTAATTCAACATGGTTAATATTCACCAGCTCGCCTGCACCCTTAAGATTTTTTCTAAAAAAAGGCTATAGTAGCTCATTGTTTGCAATCAAGTAAAAAGACAATTGGCGAAGTACCTTTCTATATGAGCGGAGCATAAATCCTTCCATATCGGAGCTAAAATGTAAAGTTATGTTTGGGCACACAGGCATGTGCACAAAGCTTTGTGTCCACGTACCTTTTTTGTGCCTGTGCCTTACTCACCTGCTGCAGAACTTTTGCTTCGATGTACTGGCAGTGCGTCAGTGTGATTATTTTTTATTTACCTTCTGTCCAAACGAGGTGAATGGGCCAATAATTTTTCAGCAACACATGCATCGTGCCAAATGTTTTATTAGCACCTCCATAAAACTTGCACTCCTGGCTTTAACAAAAAAAAAATCTGCATTACAGAGGTATGCCCACTATACCGAGAATCACATCTTAGTGTGCCTAAACTTCTCTTTCATTAGTCACGGAGTCTATTATAAACTACTCCCAACGAATTATAATGTGGTGGTACATAAAAAGAAACACACACAGCTACCAGTATGCAAATTTATTTCGAGAGTCACTCACAAAAGGTATAAAATATGCTTTCAGAGAGAGCAGAGCAACTTTGTTGGTTAACGGTCAAATGGCGCACTGGAAAGAGTGCAGGAAATTGCACCAATGATGATACATAGAAGAATAACATTGTTGTTTTGGATGCTCAATTATATGGACAGCGTGTCCTTGGTGGATGCACCTCCTAATTATTGTGTTTACGGAATTACTACGCCACTCTTCTACCATTATAAACGCAACTTCTTGTGCACACTTTTTTTTTTTTTTTTTTAAATCTGGTGACAAACGGCAAACTTTTAACAATAAATTCTGAGAGCCTATTTCCCCTTCATAAATTTTGGAGTACATTACCTTTCTCCACTTGGTGATCCAGACATCCCATTAGAGTTACAGAAAGCATTAAGGCGTGTACCACACATTAGAGGGGAAACAGTGTACCACAAATGTTAAAGCAAAAGAATGACATTTTATTATAAAGAGTGTGAGGCAGTGTCAGTTATCCGAGTTCCAATCTTCAGTAAAGCCTTTAAGCTTCTTAGAGAAGAATGATTTGTGCACTCCTTAATTTAAAATTGGCAAGTTTTGATATTTGCTTGCAGACTTGCAGCCTACAGTAAAAAGAAGTGTTAGTATAAACAAGTCCTGTGTCTTTCATTAGTAATAAAAAGTTTATTTAAAATGTATTAAAAATTACTGAAAAATAATTAACAGTGAAATTTTAAGCCTTATATTGTTCCCATTCAAGCAAGGGGATTCCACTCAAAACTCATCCCAAAAAGAACAGAAGAATGATAAATACTCAAGATAACTTACCATGCTCAGGTGTCCTGTTAATTTTGCCGTAAATGGCATGTTATGCATGTATGATATCAAAATGTGGTTAAAAGCAGCTTCCCAAGATCAGTGTTATTGTGCTCTTGGTATAACAAACAAATCTTACCACAATCGCTTTATGAACAATGGGTTAGAATCATAATCCCCAAGTTTGTCAATGGGTTTTCAAGAGTTTTGCAGGTACTCCACCAGCTGGTGTTTAAGACAAAGAAACTTGCATTCCTACTAGAAGCTATGTGCTGTAAAATATTGAGTAAGCGCTCATCAAATGGTTGGCTGTAAAATATTGAGTAAGCGCTCATCAAATGGTTGGAGATAACTGTAAAAAATATGGGATAGGCACTTTGCAGGTTCCAGCGCTGAAAGTCAGAACGGTGCAGGAGCAGTGTTGTAGTCTGGTGGGACCCCTATTTTCTTAAAGCAGTTGCACCGCTTGCATCCAGCCAGCTTTGTGCTGGCACTCTCATGTGAAGCTTCATTGCTTCTTACCGGAGTGAGCATGGAAAGCTTCACCGCTCTGCAGCAGCGCACTGGGAAATGTGGTTGATGCGGAGGAGCGCCTTGTTTCATTCAATACATTCAGAAGTTCACTGGCCTGGGTGCTTGATATGTTCTTAATCACTTTTTAAATGTTCAAAAGTGGGGGTGGACACCTATTGCGATATGAGCACATGCTCATCATTTTAAGGCACATGCAATGGCAGAGATAAAAAAGTAAGGCAAATATTTTGCCTATCACAATGGCGGGTAGTAGAAATGCGTCGAAATGATGTGTTATGCGTCACGGAAAGTTAAAAACATGAATGGTTAGTAGTGACTACTGCTGCATTAGAAGGAAGAAGGAAGTGCAGAAAGGAAGGCAAAGAAGTTAACTTGGGGCATTTTATGCTTCATCAGGTAAGTTATAGTAAAGTTTATAAACACAACATTTTAGAGACAACATGCCTCCTATAATTTATACAATTTTCGTCATGGCAACATACCCCCCCCCCCCCCCCATACACATCCAAACCGCTATTGCATGCCATTATAAATAGGGTGCTATGGCAACTATTTAAGCATCTCTCTTGACTTGTAACATAGCAGACATTGTAACATATCACGGCACAGGCAAGACCGTGAATTTCAAACATTACTAAATCTTAGGCGCAGGAAGACCGAAAGGAGAAGACACAAAAAAAAGA